GGAGTATGACAAGAAATTGATGCCTTAAGTCTAAAGGAATTTGGGCGTTAATATGATAACTATCCCAAGCATGAGGTGTCCAAGCATGAGGTGTCTTTATTGCAACCATACTTGACTTTCAACCATTATATTTCAATGCGTTTGTGACTTTTAAGATTTATATCTATCCTATATTAAGTTCTTAGGGAGCAGACATGAGATTGATGCCTTAAGGTTGAAGGAATTGATTGTTAAAATGACAAACACCCCTAGCACGAAGTGTTCAAGCAAGAGGTGGTCACTTGTAGTAAAAATCTGATTTTATATCTATCTTTGTAGGTGAAAATCAACTATCCTTGACTTATTTTAATGTGTTAGCAATCCAATTTACTTTCCCTAAGATCCCACAATATATTATAAAACTAATACCTCAACCATTCATTTAATTTCTTACCCGATTGATACCCGATTCTCGATTAATTTCCACAATTCGCACATCAATTTTTATTACGTCATATGAGACATATATTATCACATCATGATCATGTCCCTTTATATCTCATGTCCCAAATATGTCAATTACCTATCTAGGGTTTAAGGTGGCCTCGATCAACCAAATAGAAAGCTTGAACCTTTGTCGATACTAATTTCCGACCTTTTAGATATTCCATTTCTTATCAAGCCAATCTCCAACATTTAGTTAACCTAATTTTCTATCTTAGCTCAATACAAAATTGAACACCTAGGTCGAGAAGTCAAAGACTAAAATCTTAAAATATCCATAATCGAATGCACCATTTTGAGATAAAGTAATTAAGAAAACTAATGCAAGTGACATTGTGAATAGCATGAAATGCATGAATCATATTGGCTAAAAGTGCAATATGAAGTTAGGGGTATCACAGTTGAATTTGTACAACCACAACAAAGGCCTGAACATATTGAGGTAGTTGGAGAAAGATTTAGAAAACTAAACCGTCCAATATTTGAGGATGCATTGGACCTAATAGCAACAAAGGATTGGTTGAGAACTTTAGAGAATATGTTCAAGTATACGAGAGTTTCAAAAGTAGAAAAAGTGATTTGTACATCATTTATGCTACAACGCTGTGCTGGACATTAGTGGAATACGATAAGTAGCATTGAAGATGTAAATGCCATGACTTGGGAGAGATTTCAAGAGTTATTCCGTAATAAATATTTTACAGACCCAGTTCAATCCATAAAGATGAATGAATTTATACAGCTAAGATAAGGAGAGATGATAGTAGGAGAGTATATTCGTAAGTTTGAACAACTATCCAGGTTTGCTACCCACATGGTTAATAGTAGTACACTAAAGGAAGAAAGATTTCTTGAGGGGCTAAGACCAGAACTATATATAGAGCTGTAAGCATGGCAGAAATCCAAGATGTTTCATATTCTCAAATTGCGGAAAGAGCATTAGTTGCAAAACAAGCCGAACAAAGAAATAGTCATGCTCAAGAGCCTTGACCACCATTTAGGCAAGGTCAAGGATAGTGTTGGCCTAGAAATGATAAGAAAAGAGCTTTCCAGGGACAGAGTCAGAAGCCTAAGTTTCAATCGAGACAAGGGCAACAACATTAGGATCAGGGCAAATGTTCAAGGATAGATCTAGGAAAAGTCTCATCAGCACAACGATCTTGCCCCAGATGTGGTGGACATCATATTGGAGCATGTCCTATAGAGACTAGGACATGTTATGTTTGTGAAAAGTAAGGACATCTTGCTAGAGCATGCCCAAGTAGTCCAAATCCTACGGAGCACAAAAAGGTACCAACCAGGGTGTTTACTATCACAAGATTAGATGTCGAGGCAAAACCATCAGTTCTAATAGGTAAATTCTCTGTTTTTGGCATCCCAGCACTTGTACTATTTGATTTTGGAGCTATGCGTTCATTTGGACCTACTGTGATGCGAACCGTAGCAATGGAAACTACGAAACCCACAATGAGATTGATGTGGAACCCAAGAACGCCAATACTAACCCGATTTTGGATCTTGAACCCCAAGAATTGAACCAAGAATCCCTAGATTAGCGAAGAACCTAAAACCCCTTGAATTACAATTAAAAGAACCCAAAATCCGATTGACTAGAGCGCCACAAGAAGTTGAATCTTGATAAGTTCCAAGATTGTTCAAGAAGAACAATAAATTGAAAGAATAATTCTCTCTATAATATTAAGCAATAGTCAAAGTTCAAAGGTTTTTACAATGAAAAGATATTTTCCTATTTATACTAATAAATAAAAATGTCCAAAACCATCAAATTATGGTAATAATTTGATTTCATAAGAATTCTATCGAAACTAGGAAATTTGACCAAAAATAGAAAAATCGCCATTTCTTTTGGCCCATGCAGCCGCATGGTATAAATCCATGCAGTCGCATGGTTTAACTTGAGTTGGAGTTTTTGTTTTCGGGAACCATGTGTACGGCCTCATGGAATTTTGCCTGTGCGACCACATGGTCTTGTTTTCTGCCTCCACTTTCGTCGCTTGATAACAAATTGATCCAAGTCGATTCAGCCTTCGACCCGAACATGAAAGTTGCTCCATTTTGAGTCCCGAACATGGTTCCATCCATGGTTTCTTGAACGAGCAATCCCATTGCTTGTTTCACTTGCTTTGCCCTTGATCGCGTTATTGGTCCGCCATCAACTATCAACAGGTCTCGTCTCGCACCTGCTTTCGTCGGGCTCGACTCTTGGATCATATCATCCCCTCCCTCTTCAAAAGGATTTGTCCTCGAATTTGAACCTGCATAAAACAAAGAGAGATCAGATACATTAAAAGTAGCTGAAATATTATACTCACCTGGTAAATCCACTTTGTATGCATTGACATTGATCCTCTCAATGATTTGAAATGGTCCATTGCCTCGTTGTTGCAATTTTGACTTCCTCTGTTCTGGAAAATGCTCTTTTCTGAAATGCACCCAGACCCAATCTCCAGGCTCAAATGTAACGCGTCTTCTTCCTTTATTTGCTTTTGATGTAATCAGCTTTCATTTCTCTTCAATTTGCATCCTGACCTTTTCATGGAGTGTTTTCACCGTCTCATCTTTTTGTTTCCCATCCAAGCTATCTCATTCATGCACAGGCAAAGGCATTAAATCCATAGGTGTTAGTGGATTAAAATCATAAATAATTTCAAAAGGAGAAAACGAAGTAGTAGGATGTGTAGCTCGATTATATGCAAACTCTATAAACGGTAAACACTCTTCCCATGATTTTAGATTTTTATTGATCACTGTCCTAAGTAGTTGAGTCATAGTTCGATTAACTACCTCAGTTTGTCCATTTGTTTGTGGGTGACAAGTTGTAGAAAATAATAACTTAGTTCCTAGCTTACTCCATAGAACACGCCAAAAATGACTCATAAACTTCACGTCCTTATCAGACACTATACTTTTAGGTTGATTAGTGTCTAAAAGTGCTTCAAAGATATATCATTTACAAGGCATTTTACATTCACTTTGTTTAAAAACGCTAATGTTAGTCTCTAATTCCAATTCTCATGCCGTAAATTCAATTTCCATAAATACATGGTTAAAAATGCAATTAATTGAAATACGTATTTACATACATGGTGGCATGAGTATTCTACATTTGAAAGAGTGTCTATTTGATGTATTTCACATGTATTTTCAATTTATTACAAGTGGAGCAAGTGGAGGAAAATAATGTTGAAAAGTCAAAAATAGTGACTGCCTCAAGCAAGAAGCAGCTGTTGGTAAAATAATCATAACTTGAGCTACATACATTGGATCGAGGTGATTAAAGTTGGGCTGGAAAGATAAGGCACGTTTCTACAACTTTCATGTTTTGGAAGAAGTCAAATTCGTATCACAAGGCAGCCAAAATTACCGTCCAAAGTCCAGCCTGTTACCTGCCGGATACAGCTTTACCTGTGAAGCAGCACTTATTGTTTTTGTCATATCTGGAGTTATATAGATCCAATGAACCTGATCTTTGAACCAATGGAAAGATAACTCAAGTGGAAATATTTTATCTGTTGATCATAAGTCCAAATTCACTTCAAAATGTATCTGAAAATTGGCATCAAGTTGCATGTTCCAGCTGTCTTAAAGCTGGACAGAAACAAGTTGCATTGCCTACTTGAATTTTGGATGTTCCTTTGCCTATAAAAGGGGACCTTGGCCACGATTTTGAAGCATCAAATCCTCTCCATCATATTCTAGTTTCCTTCATTTTCTTTGTAACATTTCACTATGTATTTCTAAACATTTAGCTAGAGCTAAGGGTGAAACTTTGATGAATGTTTAGTATTGTCTTTGATCTTTCATTTTGTTCTTCAATGTTCATCTTCTTACTTGGTTGAAGTTTGTGTTCTACAAATGGTTTTGGTTTGTTAAAGACTTTGATTTATTGTTGACAATTTTGGCACAATAAATGCTTAGATAATCTCTACATACCAACAACTTATTTTGACATATTCTCTCAAACAATTTCCACCAACCGTTCATTACTCATAGAATAGTTTATTTCCTTCCAATTCCCTGTGGTTCGACCTCGGACTTCCGAGATTTACTACTTGTGACAACCTGCACTTGGGTTTGCAACCTTAAAGTTGTAGCAAGTTTTTGGCGCCGTTGCCGGGGATTTGTGTCAAGGATTATTTTCTGCTACTTTCTGTGAGGTTTTCTTCTCTTTCATAATCTTCACAAATCAGGTACACTCGTTCCTTTTTCAATCTCATTACTTTAGTTATTTTACTTTAAAGGAAGGCTGAGCCTCCTTCGTTTTTATTTTCTGTTTATTTTCTTTCCTTAAAGGGAAGGCCGAGCCTCCCGATCTGCCGTTTCTTTGTTATATGGTTGGCTATGCCACCTAACTTTCGTTCATTATATCTACTTTTTGTTATTTTATGTCATATTGGTATCGTGAATTAAATTCTCATCGTTTAGTTAAAGATAATTGTGAAACTTTCTTTAGTAATTTATTTGACTCACCTCAACACTCACTCACATCTTCCACCATGGCTGATAATGAAAGCATACACGATGAAAATGAAAACCAACAAGTACGAACCATGCGTGATTACTTGCAACCTCCTCGAAATTCTGCTCCTTCATGTTTCATTTTTCCTCTTAATGCTAATAATTTTCGATTCAAGCCGGGTATGATTCCATTACTTCCTAATTTTCATGGCTTAGAATCCGAAAGTCCATATTTGCATCTTAAAGAATTTGAGGAAGTATGTGCAACATTTAACGATCAAACTTGTCCCAACGAAATTGTTAAGTTGAAATTGTTTCCTTTTTCTCTAAAAGATAAAGCAAAAACTTGGCTTAACTCTTTAAAACCTAGGTCGATTGGCACATGGCAAGAAATGCAAAGTGAGTTTTTGAAGAAATTCTTTCCAGCACATAAAACTAATGCTTTGAAAAGACAAATCCAAAATTTTTCTCAAAAAACCAATGAAGCGTACTTTCAATGTTTAGAAAGATTTAAAGATTTGTTAAATACATGCCCACATCATGGTTTTGAAAAATGGCGTACTATAAGTTTCTTTTATGAGGGCCTAACTCCTGAAACAAAACAATTTGTAGAAACGATGTGCAATGGTGAATTTTTAGATAAAAATCCAGATGAAGCTTTAGAATTTCTAGATCATCTAGCTGAAAATTCTCAATCTTGGCAAACAGTAAAACCAATCGAAAACTCAATTAGATCTAGTCTTGCTAGTTCTAGTGGAGGAAAATATCAATTGAGTCAAGATGATGATCTAAATGCTAGGATTGCTAGTTTGTCTAGAAAGGTTGAAGCTATGGAATTAAGGAAAGTAAAGGAAGTTAAACCCGTGCAAAATGATGAAATTTGTAGCATTTGTGAAACTTTTGGTCATCTTACGCATGATTGTCCTAACATTCCAGTTTTCAAAGAAGTTTTACATGATCAAGGCAATGCTATGAACACTTTCAAAAAGCCTTTTTCTTCTCCATACTCAGAAACATATAATCAACAATGGAGAAATCATCCCAACTTTAGTTGGAGAGATGATAATCGTGTTCATTTATCACAACCTCAAGGGCTTTCAAAATTTCCTTCTTTTCCACCACCACAATCAAGGACTCTTGAGGAAACATTGCAGTCTATTATGCAAGGACAAGCAAATATTAATAATCAAACTTCACAAGCCATCAATGAAATTAAGAACACACTTTCTTCATTGACCTCTTCTTTGCATTCTCAAGAGAAAGGCAAATTTCCTGCTCAACCTCAACCAAATCCTTCTCAACAATTTAATGTAAATGCTTCTAGTTCTTCTGAAAGTCAACAACAAAATGCCAACTCCATCACGACTCTTCGTAGTGGAAAAATTATTGACAAAACCATCCCTTCAAAAGAACTA